AATAGAGAAATTAAAAACTTATATGTATTTTGTTATAGAACAGATAACTGAATACAGCAATGTCTATGTTGCATCAAATAAATCCAGATGGAAGTATTGGTTTACCATTTGGACGTGCTGTTGAGAACTATATTTTATCACTACCAATTGTAAAAGGTGCACGCTTCAAATGTCAAAGCCGGCAAAAATTAAATCAAGCTGTTCAAAGAGATTTTGTTGTTTTTAAACGTGAAGAAGGTGCAATTGACTTTAAAGGATGGACTACGATTACTGGTATGACAAAGTCGACGAATCGCTTGGATGACAGGCTTGAACTAACGGAAGAGGGACAAAGATATGTTAATCAGATTCAGCAGGGTCTAGTTTCGGATCTTTGTGTTTGGCATTGGGTTTTTTATTGTGCAGGTGATGGAAATTGTCAGAGAGCATGTGGTGGATTTGAAAACTGTTTACCTAATTGTCCAAACTATAAAGTGAAAAACAATTTAAAAAATGGCAATGACATGCATAAATGCAAAGTTCGTATAATTACCAAAGTTATGCTTAGCATGGTTAGAGAAAGATTTCCTATTAAATTATATATAGAAGGTCAGCACATTCCTACAAACATTTTTATTCAACATGAATCAGCTGTTACACGTTTAAATCTTAGTAGAACAATAAGGGATCAGATTATATTGAGTCGACGTGCAGATGGACATACAGCTAAAGAAATTAAACTCAAACTTTTAGCTCCATTTAATGGTGCATCAAAAGAACAATTAGAACAACAAGAAAAATATGGAACTAATATATGTAATGAACAAAAACTCCAGCAGTTGTTAGAACGAAATAATCGATACACTCGTGATAATATAGGCCCATGGACAATTTTACATAGTTTAGTTATGAATGAGTTAAAGGAGAAGGGATTTGTTCTCTATTATCAACAAGAGGATCAAAGTTTTCTTTCAAATTCACCAGAACACTATTATCAACTTACTGTAAGTGATAATATGTGGCTTGAACAAGCTCGAAATTATGGTTCATTTTGTTTTGGCATTGATGCAAAGTATGATCTTAATAATAACCGAGCACCT